CCTATTCCCACAGGGCAATACAAAGAGGTCCATATGACCCCTTATACAACCAGTGGATTATGTTACAGAAGAGGAACCCGAAGTTTAGGGAACCCAAATCTTTTTATAATGGGCAGTAAGCATGGCTGCCCTTTCCTCCAGAGGGAGGCAGTATCTTCACTATACTAGACAATAAGAATGGTTGCCCTTTGATCTTGAGGAGAGACTATCTCTTCCTATCACTGCTTATCTGTTGACTGCTTGAATGCCCTCACAAGTTGGCACTGACTTTCTCCAGAGCCAAGTGATAGAAGAGAGAGCAAGACAGAAGCTGTGATGTCTTTTATAACCTATCCTTGTAAGTCATTCCCACAATATCCCAGAAATCAATTAAAAGTGTACTAGAAAATTCACAAATATGTGGAGATTAAACAACATGCAGCTGAACCACCAGTGGGTCAAAGAAGAAAATGAAGTATCTTGAAACAAATGAAAATGAAAATACAATATACCAAAACTTATGGGATGCAGCAAAAGCAGTTTTAAAAGGTAAGTTCATAGCAATAAATGCTATATCAAGAAAACAAGAGGGCACCTGGTTGGCTCAGTCAGTAAGCATCTGCCTTCAGCTCAGGTCATGATCCCAGGGTCCTGAGATCTAGCCCCACATCAAGCCCCCTGCTTATTGGGGAGTCTGCTTCTCCCTCTGCCCCACCCCCTGCTCATGTTCACGGTCTCTCTCTCTCTCAAAAATGAATAAATAAATCTCTGAAAAAAAAAAAAAACAAGAAAAATGTCCAACAACCTAACTTTCTACCTCAAGGAACTAGAAAAAGAATAAACAAAGCACTGAATTAGTAGTAGTCAGAAGGAAATAAAGATCAGAACTAAAGTTCTGAAGTTTCAATGAAACTAAGACCTACTTCTTTGAAAGACAAAATTGACAAACCTTTAACTAGGCTCAACAAGAAAAAAGGACTCAAAATCAGAAATGAAACAGGAAACATTACATCTTATACTACAGAAATATAAAGGGCCATAAGAGACTATGAACAGTTATACACCAACAGATTGGACAACCTCAAAGAAATGGATGTTCCTACAAACATACAACTGACCAAGACTGAATCATGAAGAAATAGAAAATCTGAGGGATGCCTGGCTGGCTCAGTTGGTAGAACATGTGACTCTTGATCTTGGGGTTGTGCGTTCAAGCCCCATGTTGGGTACAGAGCTTGCTTTAAAAAAAAAAAGAAAGAAAGAAATAGTAAATCTGAACAGACTGATTACTAGTAAAGACATTGAATCATTAATCAAAAATCTGCCAACAAACAGAAGTCCAGACCCTGACGGCTTCACTGGTGAATTCTACCAAAAATTCAAAGAGGAATTAATCCCAATCCTTTTTAAACTTTTCAAAAAAAAAAAAAAAATACCCTGATACCAAAACCAGAAAAGGATGGCACAAGAAAAAATTACAAGCCAATATCCCTCATGAACATAGATGTAAAAATCCTGAACAGAATATTAGCAAACCAGATTAGCAATATATCAAAAGTACCATACACCATGATCAAGTGTGATTTATTCCAGGGGTGAGAGGACAGTTCAACATCTGCAAATCAATCCACATGATATATCACATTAACAAAATGAAGATTAAAGTTCTAATATCACAGCAGATGCAGAAAAAAAAGCTTTTGACAAAATTCGGCATCCATTCATGATAAAAATCTCAACCAAGTGGGTATAGAGGGAACATACTCAACATAACAGAAGCCATTTATGACAAGCACACAGCTAACATCATACTCAACAGTGAAAGCTTTTCCTCTAAGATTAGGAGCAAAACTAGGATGCCCACTTTCACCACTCTTATTCAGCATAATGTTGGAAGTACTTGTCAGAGCAATTAGGCAAGAAAAAGAAATAAAAGGCATCCAGATTGGAAAGGAAGAAGTAAAACTGTCACTTTTGTAGATGACATGGTATTATATGTTTTTAAACCCTAAATATTCCACCAATCAACTGTTAGAACCAATCAATGAATTCAGTAAGGTTTCAGGACACCAAAATCAGTTATACAAAAAAAATAAAATATGTAAGAATAAATTTAACCATGAAGATAAAAGACCTGTATACTATCTATTAACAAAGATGAAGGAAACTGAAGAAGACACAAATAAATGGAAAGATATACCATGCTCATAGAGTGGAAGAATTAATATTGCTAAAATGTCCATACTATGCAAAGCAATCTGTAGATTCAGTGCAATCATATTAAAATTCCAATGGCATTTTTCACAGAAATAGAACAAACAATCCTAAAATGTCTATGGAACCACAAAAGACTCTGAACAGCCAAAGCAGTCTTGAGAAAGAAAGCTGTAGGCATCATGCTCCCTGGTTTCAAACTATTACAAAACTATAGTAATCAAAACACTATGGTGTTGGCATGAAAACAGACACATAGAACAATGGAACAAAATAAAAAGCCTAGAAATAAACCCACACATATATGGCCAATTAATTTATGATAAAGGAGCCAAGAATATAGAATGAAGAAAGGAAAGTCTCTTCAGCAAATGGTGTTGGGAAAACTGGACAGCCACATGCAAAAGAATGAATCTGGACTACTATCCTACATCGTACACAAAAATTAATTCAAAATGGATTAAAGACTTGAACATAAGACCTGAAACCATAAAACTCCTAGAAGAAAACATAGATGGTAAGCTCCAAGACAAGGCACATAGATACAGAGAATAAACTGGTGGTTGCCAGAGGTAAGGGATGGGCAAAGTGGGTAAAGGGAGTCAAAAGGTACAAACTTCCAGCTTAAACTAGTTATAGAGATATATTATACAACATGGTGACTATCATTAGTATGGTATTGCACATTTGAAAGTTGCTAATAGATCTTAAAAGTTTTTATCAAAAGAAAAAAATTTGTAACTATGTATGGTGACTGATTTAACTAGACTTACTGTGGTGACCAATTTGCAATATATACAAATAGCAAATCGTTATACACCTGAAACTAATATAATGTTATATGTCAATTATACTTCAATAAAAGTGTATTTACATCATAGGTAGCTGGATTACGAGCATATGGGAACTCCATACTATTTTTACAACTTTTCTAAGTCTGAAATTATTTCAAACTAAAAGGATTTTAAATGAAAATATAAGTTACAGAATGGAAGAAAATATTCATAAAACATATCTGACAAAGATCTTGTGTCCACAAAACAAAGAACTCTTAATCAATTAACAAATAAGCAAGACATAAACACATTCATAAAAGTAGATACAGTTGGTCAATAAACATATGTAAATGTAAACATACGTAAACTAGATCATTTGTAATATGGGAAATGCAAATTATTACCAAAATAAAACAACTGGTAATATCAAGTGTGAGTGAGGACCTGAAGGGACCCTTCATACACTGCTGGTTAGAATGTAAAACAATCCAACTTGTTTGGAAAAATATGTAGTTTCTTATAAAATAAAATGTATACTTTCCCTATGACCTCGCAATTCCACCACCAGCTATTTATCCAAGAGGAATTAAAATATATGACCATTAAGACAGGTATAAATAAATGTCCATAGCAGCTGTGTATTCATAATACATGATAACCAACAGCTGGCCGCTACCCAAATGTCCATCAATAGGAGAATGAATAAACAAATTGTGATATGAGTCTTCTTTTTTTTCTGTATGTGTTGTGGAATATTTGCTCCCAATTTGTGGCTTTCCTTTCCATTTTTTAAATAGTTTTTTTGAAAGGCCAAAAGTTTAATTTTAGCAAAATCCAAATATTTGTGGTTTTACCATTTTAAAGTTATTATTTATATATAAATGGTATTCTGATGCTGACAGAAAGTTGCCAAAACCTCTACAGTGAAGGAGTCTCTGGGGGGCATTAACAGGAGTGTCGGTTATTTTGCAAATTTGGATGGATTCTAGAGCCTTGTATTAAAAAGGGGGCCCCCACTCAAGGAGAGCCAGTTTGCAAGTAACAGCATAAAAGGACTTAAGTACAACACATAAAGGAGAAATGTGTTTCCTCTAGAACCCAAAAAGGCCTAAAAGAAGTTGTGGGTCTGAGAGAATCAATAGCTGTTTCTTGACAGCATCATGAATAGGGCAGCCCTCTGTTTACCAGTTAATTTTCAAGACTTTAACCAAGTTTGCAGGACGTTACACTAAGTATGAGGCAGTGACCCATTTTCTTTTTGTGAGCTGCTGAATGAGTAGGTCAAACAAATCTCAGGGGACAAAGTCACCAATGTAATGTCATACCTGTCTTCCTGGAGAAAGCAGGATATAGTTAAGATCTTGCCCTTAAAGACTGTGTGTGATGACAGGGCTGTTGAGGCTCCCCATGGTAGCTGGACAGAAGTGTATCATACTTTGGAGGTGAGGTAGACTGTGGTCAAGGGACACCTGGATGACATAGTTGGTCAAGCGTCCAGCTCTTGGTTTTGGCTCAGGTTGTGATCTCAGGATCGTGAGATCAAACCCCACGTCAGGCTCCACTCTTAGCCATGGAGTCTGCTTGGATTTCCCCCTCCCTCTCTCTCTGCCCCCCCCCCCTTGCTCTCTTTCTTTCTAAAATAAATAAATCAATCTTAAAAAGGGGGGGCGGTGCCTGGGTGGCTCAGATGGTTAAGCGTCTGCCTTCGGCTCAGGTCATGATCTCCAGGTCCTGGGATCGAGCCCTGCATCAGGCTCCCTGCTCAGCGGGGAGTCTCCTTCTCCCTCTTCCTCTGCACCCCCCCCCCCCCACTGCTCCTGCTCTCTCTCTCTCTGTAGCTCTCTGTCTCAAATGAATAAATTAAAAAATTATTAAAAAAAAAAAAAACTGCAGTCAAGAGGCTGTCGAAATAGTCACTGAACAAAACATAGTCACCAAATCTATAATAGCAAAATATTTACCAGTTGCTGATAGGATGAAGTCAGTAACTGCAATAATATTGACTATGGGGACATTAATGAGGCCCACAGCATGAAGCTTGAGGTAATCCACCATGAAGCACCATTTATTCTTCCCAAGTTTAAGAGCAGGCCAAATTGAGCTGTTAAATGGCAAAGCAGTGGGATAATCACCCCTTCTCTAAATGTGTCTAAATGTGGGTTTCAATCATTAAAAAGGCCATGTTTTAATATACACTGGACCATATTATCTGTTTTAATGGGAGAGGAGGTCCATGTGGTTCCATTTTATCAAGATAATTTGTAAGTGCCAACTACTTAATTTTATTACTCATCCAGTCAGAGAGTCCATGACCACTATGGGATATTTTAGGAGATAAGTACTGCAACCATGAGCAATTTGGCAAGAGTAGTTCCTGTGGTTAGAGTGAGGCATACCTGTTTGTCCTCTCATCATGTTCAGTAGTTCCCCTAATATTATAGGTGGCACTTTGTTTAAACTAATTGGTCTCCCCAGTATAACCATTATTTGAGCTCCTGTATTAAAGCCATGAAAGTTTGGCAATTGGTGTATTTCAGCAGATTTTAAATTAATTGAGAACCAATATTATAGAGGCACAAAGTCATTCTGTGCCCTTTTAGTATTCGGGTTACCAACTGGGCCTAATTGTGGACTTTTGTTTTCGTTTTTGTTTCCTCCTTATTGTAGACTGAACTGTGTCCCCCCCTCCCCCTTTCACACATTGAAGCCCAAAGCCCCAAAGTGACTATTTGGAAATGGGGCCTTTAAGGAGGTAATTGAAGTTAAATGAGGTCATAAGAGTGGGGCCCTAATCTGACAGGACTGGTCCTTATAAGAAGAGGAAGAGAGACCAGGGATCTCTTTCTCCTTCTCTTCCTCTCACATACAGAGGAAAGGCCATCTATAAGCCAGGAAGAGAGGCCTCACCAGAAACAACTCTGATGGCACCTTAATCTTGGACTTCTAGCCTCTGGAACTATGGGAAAATAGATTTCTATTGTCTAAGCCACTCAGTCTATGGTATTTTATTACAGCCACCCTAACAAACCAATGCACTCCCCCTGTATTCAGGTTTTTGTTTTTTTTTTTAAGATTTTATTTATTTATTTGAGACAGAGAGAACGAGAGAGACAGCACATGAGAGGGGGGAGGGTCAGAGGGAGAAGCAGGCTCCCCGCCGAGCAGGGAGCCCAATGTGGGACTCGATCCAGGGACTCCAGGATCATGACCTGAGCCAAAGGCAGTCGCCCAACCAACTGAGCCACCCAGGCGCCCTGTATCTAGGTTTCTTTTTCTTTTTTCCTGCTACTGGTGGTGGTTACTAGATTTATTTCAGGGATGTCTTCTCTACACTGCTCATATTTATCAACTTCTTCCTTCAGAGAGACTCAAATCAATATCATCAGGATTAGGGCTCTTCCCCATGACAGTGGTTGAATGAGTGCCTTGGCTGTGCCACAGGTATCCCATGGGCGTTTTTCCCTATAACCCTAAGGATCAAGATCTTTCTGGGGTCAGAGAAATAGGCAGCAGAAGCTACAGAAGAATTTTGTAGGGTCCTACTGAGCCATGTGCCTTTAGAATAAATCTGAGTAATTCAACTCTTCAAATAATGCCTGCTGTTCTTCCACACACAAATGACCAACCAATGGGCTTATGTATTGTAGAAGCTATAAGTCTTTTCCCCTACACCCTCTATAGAATAGGGGCTAACATCTGATTGAGACACACAACCAGTCAGTTGATCACAGGATGAGTCTTTCCTGAATCTAGTGTCAGTCATGGCTTATGATGGAATCACAACACACAATTCAATGTAAGACACACAGACAGGTTTGAGCTGAGACACATGACTCAAGGCAACCTAAAGGAGGGCCCAATCCTATACTCCTCTCCCTAAACACCAGTTATTGAAACTTCCACCTTAAGTCAGTTCAGTCTATAACAGAGGCTTGGTAGAACTCAGCAAATATAGCACAGAGCCAGGTAACAAACTGAAGCAAGTTCCTCAGCCAGCGGTAGTGGTCCTCTAGACATCCTGCTTCCAATACCAATTGTGTGGCCGCCTTGCAGGGACAGGATGGACCCCTCCACACCCCAAATTTGGCTTATTATATAATAAGGCTCTCTGAGGCAAACAGGGCAGACTTCCCATATTAGCCCAAAATTGCTTGACAGAACAAGGAAAAGGAGACTGGCTTGGAGTTTTTCACTGTCCTTGAGAGTGGTGCTGGGGTAAGGGTTCTTGTGCACAGGGAGGGCCTTGCAAGGTCTCAGTTTCCTGGGCTTTCTTAACAGCTTGCCCAGATGTAGGGCACAAGGGGAAGATCAAAGAGTGAGACTTCAAAGCTATCAGCAATCAAACATCATAAAATGGAGTCAGCTCTTTGTTACCATATTAAATTATCGTGAATGGATGATTCTAGTACATACTATTTAGATTAGAATTTGAATAATGTAGTGTGTTTCACCATTTTAAATAAGACTTTGCAAATTTTTTCACATAAAATTATATTCTTGGTAAATAGATCACTTTGATCACATTTGTTTATCATTAGTCCCTTCTAAATCCTCACAAAATGAGAATAAAGGAATAAAAAGGCATAAACCCTGAAACAAAGAGAATAGAAGAGACAACTTATAGCAGTCAGGGAATGTTAATGAAATTTTATAAGATGGGGAGCAGTAGATAATTACCAGCATCTTAGGCCTTACCTTTCCCAGTCTGTCCTTGCAGGAGACTGACTAGTCACAGAAGCCCAGAAGAGCTCAGGAATTAAAGGTGTGGGGTAGGACAAGAGGACTGGATAAAAGACTGTGCAAGGAGTAGTTTGACACCTCCCTCCAGATCTTTTCCCCAACCCGAACTTATTTAACAGTGTTCTAAGGAAAGGAATAAAAATGGGCAGGAAAGCTTTATTGAAAAATAGCCTGAGGAACACCAGTCTAAGATTTCAATTATGCAAACCTCCAGTAACTACTCCCTCAGCCTTTCTCAGGCAGGGTTTAACGAGAGAATTATGCCCTACTGCCCTATGCATCTATTATGTGTAATGAACTGACTTCTCTCCTATGCGATTTATGTACCATCCTTGGGAGAATTAAAAAAATGTCATTTCATTAGTTTTCTGTATCTTATGGTTCAGACAAGGAACCCCAGTTGAGAAAGAGTACCCCCAAACACGAAGTCAAAACTACTGCTATCCTAGGAAAATTACAGAGATTAGTACTATCATTAGAGACTTGAGAAAGTCTTATCACATCCCCATATTACTCCATATCACAAATTTAATTAGAAACTGATGCCAGTGGGGGCTGGGTGGCTCAATTGATTAAGCGTCCAACTCTTAGTTTCGGCTCAGGTCATGATCTTGGGGCTGTGGAGTGAAGCCCCACATCTGGCTCTGTGCTCTGCTCAGAGTCTGCTTGAAATTCTTTCTCTCTCCCTCTCCCTCTGCTCTTCCCCCTCCTCCTTTCCACCCCTGACTCAAGTACACATGCGTGTACACTTTCTCTAAAATAGCTAGCTAGCTAGATAGATAGATAGATAGACAGACAGAATATTTTTTAAAAAGAAAGAAAAAGAAGTTGATGCCAGTCCCAGCTGTGGTTCTGGATGTGGTCATCTTGGGCCAGCTTTGTCCCTCCACCTGATTTCACTATTACCTGTAAGGACACCAACTCTTTGGGACTCTTCTCTTCCAGGTTTTAGCTATCAACGCTGTTAATAACACTGCACTAGCACTTGAAGTCCTCCTCCACCCATACTTTTGTAAATAAACTCCCAACAAACAAAATAAAGTACACAACAAACTGAATGGGAAAAAAAATCCCTTCAGAAATCAATCCCATGTACATTTGCATCAAAAAGAATAAAATACCTAGAAATAAATTTAGCCAAGGAAGTTAAAGACCTGTACACTGAAAACTATAAGACATTCATGAAAAGAAACTGAAGATGACACAAATAAATGGAAAGATACTCTGCGCTCATATATTGGAAGAATTAATATTGCTAAAATGACCATACTACTTAAAGCAATCTATAAATTCAGTGCAATCCCTATCAAAATTTCAGTGGCACTTTTCACAGAACAATTTTAAAATTTGTATGGAACCACAAGACCAGTGGCCAAAGCAGTCTTGAGAAAGATCAAAGCTAAAGGCATCATGCTCCCTGATTTCAAACTAGATTACAAAGCTATAATAATCCACAAGTATGGTATTGGCATAAAAAGCAGACACATAGATTAGTGGAATAGAACAGAGAGCCCAGAAATAAGCTCACACATGGATGGTCAATTAATTTATGATAGAGAAGCCACTGGAGAAAGGATAGACCCTTCAATAAATGTTGTTGGGAAAACCGAATAGCCACATGCAAAAGAATGAATCTGGACCACTATCTTACACCACTTACACTTAAAAATTAAAATGGATTAAAGACTTGAATCTAGAGTTCCAAAGGGGAGTGGAAAGAGGACCCCAGAGAGCCCTGAGCAACCTCACTGCCTCCAGCGGCCTAGTACCATCACACCCCAGGAGGAGGCACAGCTGGCCCCAGTCACCAACACTGCAGCCATGAGCAGCCGCCACCACCCCACCCTCAGTGCTGCAGACACCAAGTCCCACTCCACTGCAATGGCTTCACATCACTGGCACCTGCCAGCAGGGACAACAAGATCATCTCAAGGAAGGTTGTGGGAACAGTAAAATGGTTCAATGTAAGAAACGGATATGGTTTCATCAACAGGACTGACACCAAGGAAGATGTATTTGTGGGCCAGACTACCATAAAGAAGAAGTACCTTCACAGTGTAGAAGATGGAGAGACTGTGGAGTCTGATGAATGAAAAAAGGTTTTGGAGGCAGCAAATGTGACAGGCCCTGGTGGATCTCCAACGTAAAGCAGTAAATACGCAGCAGACCATAACCATTTTAGATGCTACTCACGTCACAGGGTCCTCCACACAACTCCCAGCAGAATTACCAGAATAGTGAGAGTGGGGAGAAGGATGGATCGGAGAGTGCTTCTGAAGGCCAGGCCCAACAGTGGTGCCCTCCCACAGGCAAGGGTTCCCACCTTACTACATGCGGAGCCCCCATGGGCATGGACCACAATCTTCCAACCCTTCTGTGCAGGGAGAAGTGATGGAAGGTGCTGACAGCCGGGGTGCAGGAGAACCAGGTAGACCAGTGACACAGAATATGCATCAGGATTATACACCACGATTCTGCAGGGGCCCTCCTCACCAAAAACAGTCCCAGAGAGGAGGGCAACGAAGAAGATAAGGAAAATCAAGGAGATGAGACCCAAGGTCAGCAGCCACCTCAACGTGGGTACCTCCACAACTTCAGTTACCGTCGCAGACGCCCAGAAAACGCTAAACCACAAGATGGCAAAGAGACAAAAGCAGCCAGTCCACCAGCTGAGAATTCATCCACTCCCTAGGCAGAGCAGGGCAGGGCTGACTAAATGCCAGCTTACCATCTCTACCATCATCCAGTTTAGTCCAACAAGAAGAAATGAATATGAAATTCCAGCAATAAGAAATGAACAAAAGTTTGGAGCTGAAGACCTTAAGTGCTTGCTTTTTTTGCCCATTGGATCAGATAAATAGAACTATGCATTATCTATGCAGCATGGGGTTTTTATTATTTTTTACATTTTATTATTATTTTTACCTACAGATGTCTTTTTTTGGTAATGACAAAGTCTTAAAAAAAATGGTTTTTCTCAATGTACCTTTAAAGATTTTTAGATTGTTTCATATCTGGTCAAGTTGAGATTTTTAAGAACCTCATTTTTAATTTGTAATAAAAGTTTACAACTTGGTTTTAAAAAAAAGTCAACAAATGGCAAGCACCAGTTAATAAAAGTCTTAGATAATTTAGAAAAAAAACTTGAACCTCAGACTTGAAGTCTTAAAAATCCTAGAAGGAAAAAATGCAGTAATCTTGACAAAGGTCTTGGCAATGACCTTCTGGATCTGACACCAAAAATAAAGGCAACAAAAGCAAAAATCAGTAGAACTACATCAAACTAAAAGGCTTCTGCACAGCAAAGGAAACCATCAACAAAATGAAAAGGCAGTGCACTGAACGGGAGAAAATATTTGCAAATTCTGTATCTGATAAGGAGTTACTATCCAAAACATTAAAGAACTCAATACAACTCAATAGCAGAAAAACAGCCTGATTAAAAAATGGACAGAGGATCTAAATAGATATTTTTAAGAAGACATACAGATGGCCAACAGATACATGAAAAGATGCTCAAGATCACTAATCACCAGGGAAATGCAAGTCAAAACCACAATGAGATATCACTTCACACTTGTTAGAATAGCTAGTATCAAAAGACAAGAAAAAACATGTTGGCAAGGATGTGGAAGAGAAAGAACCTTTGTGCACACTGTTGGTGGGAAGGTAAATTGGTGCAGCCACTATGGAAAACAGTATGGACATTCCTCAAGAAATTAAAAATAGAACTACCATATGATCCAGCAATTCCATTTCTGGGTACTTATCTGAAGGAAACCGAAAATACTAACTCAAAAAGCTCTATGCACCTCCATGTTCCCTGCAGCATTATTTACAGTAACCAAGATATGGAAACCATCTAAATGTTCATTGACAGATGAAAGGATAAAGAAAATATGCTGTGTATATATGTATTATATGTTACATATATATATATTACATATATTATATATTGTGTGTGTATACACACACAATTATTTAACCATAAAAAAAGAAGGAATTCTTGCCATTTGTGACAACATGGATGGACCTTGAGGGCGTTATGCTAAGTGATATAAGTCAGACAGAGTAAGGCAAATACCATATGATCTCATTTATATTGGAATTTAAAAACAAACAAAAAACCATGCTCATAGATACAGAGAACAGATTGGTAGTTGCCAGAGGGGGAGGGTAGGGAGTAAGTGAAATGGATGAAGGAGTTCAAAAGGTAAAAACTTCCAGTTATGAAATAAGTCATGGAATGTAATTTATGGCATGACAACTGTAGTTAATACTGTATTGCATATTTGAAAGTTGCTATGAGTAAATCTTAAAAGTTCTCATCAGATACCACCTCACACCTGTCAGAATGGGTAAAATAAACAACACAAGAAAAAGCAGGTGTTATCAAGGATGCAAAGAAAGGGGAACCCTCTTGCACTGTTGGTGAGAATGCGAACTGGTGCAGCCACTCTGGAAAACAGTATGGAGGTTCCTCAAAAAGTTAAAAATAGAATTACCCTATGATCCGGCAATTACACTATTACGTATTTACCCAAAGGATACAAAAATACTGATTTGAAGGGGTACATGCACCTCCAGTGTTTATAGCAGCATTATCAATAATTGCCAAACTTTGGAGAGAGCCCAAATGTCCATAAGAAGATGTGGTATACATGCGATCCAGCAATTGCACTACTGGGTATTTACCCCAAAGATACAAATGTAGGGATCCGAAGGGGTACGTGCACCCCGATGTTTATAGCAGCAATGTCCACAATAGCCAAACTGTGGAAAGAGCCAAGATGTCCATCGACAGATGAATGGATAAAGAAGATGTGGTGTGTGTGTGTGTGTGTGTGTGTGTGTGTGTATATATATATATATATACACACACACAATGGAATATGCAGCCATCAAAAGGAATGAGATCTTGCCATTTGCAACAATGTGGATGGAACTGGAGGGTATTATGCTGAGCGAAATAAGTCAAAAAGAGAAAGACATGTATCATATGACCTCACTGATATGAGGAATTCCTTAATCTCAGGAAACAAACTGAGGGTTGCTGGAGTGAGGGGAGGGGTGGGAGGGATGGGGTGACTGGGTGATAGACACTGGGGAGGATATGTGCTCTGGTAAGCGCTGTGAATTGTGCAAGACTGTTGAATCTCAGATCTGTACCTCTGAAATAATGCAATACATGTTAAGAAAAAAAAAAAAAAAGAAGATAGCAGGATGGGAAGAATGAAGGGGGGGAAATCAGAGGGGGAGATGAACCACGGGAGACGATGGACTCTGAAAAACAAACTGAGGGTTCTAGAGGGGAGGGGGGTGGGAGGATGGGTTGGCCTGGTGATGGGTATTAAAAGGGCACATTCTGCATGGAGCACTGGGTGTTATGCACAAACAATGAATCATGGAACACTGCATCTAAAACTAATGATGTAATGTATGGTGATTAACATAAAAATAAAAAAATTTTTTTAAAGAAAAAATATAAATAAATAAATAAATAAATAAATAAAATAAAATCAGAAAAAAAAAAGAAGATGTGGTATAGGGATGCTTTGGTGGCTCAGTCGGTTGAGCGTCTACCTTTGGCTGCGGTCATGATCCCAGGGTCTTGGGATCGAGTCCCGCATCGGGCTCCTTGCTCATTGGGGAGCCTGCTTCTCCCTCTGCCTGCCACTCCCCCTGCTTGTACTCTCTCTGACAAATCAATAAAATCTTTAAAAAGGGGGGAAAAAAGATGATGTGGTATATTGGGGCGCTTGGGTGGCTCAATTGGTTAAGCGTCTGTCTTCGGCTCAGATGATGATCCCAGGGTCCTGGGATGGAGCCCCGAGTTGGGCTCCCTGCTCAGCAGGGAGTCTGCTTCTCCCTCTCCCGCTGCTTGTGCTCTCTCACTCACTCTCAAATAAATAAAATCTTTAAAAAAAAATTTTTTTTTAAGGTGTGTGTGTATACATATATGTGTGTGGCACAATGGCATATTACTCAGCCATCAAAAAGAATGAAATCTTACCATCTGCAAGGATGTGGATGGAGCTACAGTATATTATGCTAAGCAAAATAAGTCAGAGAAAGACAAATACCAAATGATTTCACTCATACATGGAATTTAAGAAACAAAACAGATGAACATGTGGGAGGGGCAAAGAAAAGAGGGAAACAAACCATAAGAGACTCTTAATGATAGACAACAAACTGAGGGGTTATGGAGGGAGGTGGGTGGGGGATGGGCTAGATGGGGGATGGGTATTAAGGAGGGCAGTTGTTACGATTAGCACGGGGTGTTGTATATAAGTGATGAATCACTGAATTCTACTCCTGAAACCAATGTTGCACAGTATGTTAACTAAATGGAATTTAAATTAAAAATTTTTTTAAAGTTCTCATCACAAGAAAACAAAATTCTATCACTATGGTGACATGTTAACTAGACTTATGTTAACTAGACTTACGTTATTTCTTAATACAGTTGACTCTTGAACCACATGGGGGGTTAGGTGTGCCAGTCCACTTCCCCCCCCCTTGTGCTCAGTTGAAAACCCCCTTATAACTTTTGACTCCCCCAAAACTACTAATAGCCTACTATTGCCCAGAAGCCTAAGTGATAATATAAACAGTCGATTAATACATATTTTGGGGGCACCTGGGTGGTTCAGTCAGTTGGGCATCTGCCTTCAACTCAGGTCATGATTTTAGGGTCCTGGAATCGAGTCCTGCATCAGGCTCTCTGCTCAGCAGGGAGTCTGCTTCTCCCTCTCCCTCTGCCTGCCACTCCCCCTGCTTGTGCTCTCTCTCTGTCAAATAAAGAAATCTTTTTAAAAAAACATATTTTGTATGTATTATATATGTTCTTATAATAAAGTAAGCTACAGAACAAATGTTATTAAAATCATTTACAGTACTATAAAGTATTAAAAAAAAAATCTGTGTGTAAGTGGACCCATGCAGTTCAAACCCATGTTGTTTAAATAAGGGTCAACTATACATATATAAATATCAAATCATGTTGTACATCTGAAACTAATGTAATATATGTAATTATACCTCAATTAAAAAAAAAAAATCCCTCCAGGGACACCTGGGTGGTTCAGATGCCTGAAGCATCTGCCTTCAGCTCAGGTCATGATCTTAGGGTAATGGGATCAAAGCCCCACAACGGGCTCCACACTCACTGGGGAATCTGCTTGAGTTTCTCTCCCTCTCCCTCTGATCTTATTCTCCCACCCCTGTGCCATGCTCACGCTCACTCTCTCTCTCTCTCAAATCGTAAAAAAAAAAAAAATCCCTCCAGTAGCTTTATGTGTCATACAGAATAAAGGAACCAGAATCCTTGCGGTGGCCTCGAAGTCCTTATGTGATTTTACCTTCTTACCTCTCTGGCCTCATCTCCTCTCCCTGCCCGCCCCCTTGCTTGCTTTGCTGCAGCCACCCTGGTCATCTCATTATTGCTCAGACATCCTAGACATGCTCCCACCTCAAGCCCTTTACAATTTGCTGTTTCCTATCTCAGGGTAATCTTGCTGTATTGTATTTTACTGTGTATCAAATCACCACAACACTTAGTGGCATAAAATATTTTTTAAAGGAATGGATCAAACACCCTTGTGTCCATTTCTCCAGGGGGGTGGGGATTTATGTACTGTTGCTCCCCAAAGAGAAAGTAAAAAGGAATTTGAACTACATGCATTGTCTTGAGCAAAGTTTCTCAAACTATCTGTAGTAAAGAACCAGGTTTAAAATATTTCTTTTAAGAGTAGAGACTGGGAGTGGAGAGCATGCGAGTTGGGGGAGGGAGCAGAGGGAGAGGGAGAAAAATCTCAAGCATGGAGCCCAATGTGGGGCCCAGTCTCATGACCCATGAGATCATGAGCGGAGCTGAAATCAAGAGTCAGTCACTTAACCCACTGAGCCACCCAGGTGCCCCGGATTAGAATATTTTTATTTCCATCTGTTGCTGACCAATCTGTAGTCCTATTGTGCCTAACAAGAATGCAGCTCACACTTAATGTGACCCACCATGGTAGTTTGACATCTCACTGGCTTATATTCTGTTTAAAAGAAGAGTTTATTGCTCACATACTTTGTCGTGGCAGTTTTAATTTGCTGGTTCTAACCCTTACTTCAAGTTTCTGGACTTACATTGTCACAGATGGGTAACAAACTGTTGGCAGATTGGCACCAGCCATGGAACACACTTTAGGGTCACTGGTCCAGAGGAGACTTCTCTTCTGGGGAAGGTAGCTAACTCATAAGATGAGAAGACCTTTCTGGGCACAACATGAAGTGATTGCTGCTGAAGAGTCACAACCTTAGAACAGCAGTTTGAGAGAAGTTACAAGATTTTCTTTAAAGAAGAGTTTCTCCTCCTGAGAGTGAAAAGACATTTGAAGTGATTTTTTAAAATTTTGTTGTTTGGTTGTCTTTACATACGATCTATCCATATATATAGTCAAGGGCATTTAACTGCTCAAGTTTTAAATTGGAAAGGAAAACTGTACAGGTGAACGTCAAATATACATTCTGAAACACAAAGTCAATATAGAACATGGATTTGGAAGGTAGCAGATTATTAGATATACCATCCACATTATTAGGTACACATTATTAGATACATCTGATATATCTGATATTTTAAGTGGGTGATGCTATTTGCAAGGACATTATTTCTTAAATAAAATTTCTGAGAATTTATGAGTTGAGCTGAATCTACTGAAAATTGTTGACTCCAAAATCGTAACTTTTGTAATTATATAAAATAATGATAACTAGTAGGTCATTTCAATAGAAATATTCATTAGGAAGCTTCAAGATCTATCAGATAGAAATGGACCTTTTGTCTTTAAAGAAAATATAATAAATACACAGAAAATTTCTTCTAATTTGGCCATAAGTTTTCAGTACCTAATAAATTGCATGATACTTAGTAATTAACAATTTTATGGTCTACAGCTATGAGGGGGAAGGTATGTACAGGTTACTCAAAAATAGAGTGTGCTTTCCTGTACAGCCTCCAACTCCTCTCCCCCAAGAATAGTAAGGATTTTCAAAGCATCAAATCTTTGAACATACATGGTTTTATGACAAAAATCTATCCCAAAGGGATATTATTTGGGAATGCAATTTCAATTTTCTTATCAGCTCTTGCTTTAGTAGATATATTTTGAGGTCATTACATAAAAATATTGAATAATTTGAAAATTTACTTTTTATTTTTTATTCCGTATGGAGATTTATTCCCAGAGTGGGGCTTTTCTGATGCAAAATTGGAATGCTTGTGTAGTCACAACAGCTGTCCCCGCACCATGTGGTGTCTTCCATTACTTTACTGTAGAGATGAATTTTTGGCCCGGTGTCTCAGTAATATTGGACACACATGGTTTTAAGTGGCAAAGCAGTATGCTTATGCATTCATTTGACTTTCACAGCTACAGTTGGCTCCAGATTAGAACAAGGAGAATACATTCACACCATGGCCACCCTCATGGCGGCTGTAGTAGCTGGATCACAGTGGGCTCTGTTGCTTCTAAAGACACAACTAACTATTGCTGAGGAATCACATTCACCAAAGTGCCTTACAGCTGTAGGAGAGAGAATAATGAATTGCTAAAAGGATTCTTGCAAAGATTTCAGATTATGGGCCTAGTTATTATCGATCCAGTTTTTTTTTAATATTAATAATGAAAGTCACAGCCATGAAATAACTATGAAACTAAAAGGAAAGCTTGTCATAATAGATGCTTTTTCAGAATATCAGTCCAAACCCTTAAAATTTTTCCTTCCCAGAAAAAAAGTGGCACTCTAAGACTCATTAACAAAGAATTAAAATCTGATTGATTTTTAATGTCCGTTATTCATGTATGCAGCATATTTGGAAAGCCAGTCGGTTAAAAATAGAATTATTTTGAAGAATTAGTTTACTATGTGAAACAATCGCTTTATAGTATTGATATTTAGACAACTTTGCTAAAAAAGTTTGTATGATTAATACAGACATAAGATGACTTAATGTGAAGTTGCATTGTTATACGATATAGTTTGAATACTGTATCTCTCTGCAGTGTC